GAGAGAGAGAGAGAGCAACGCCGGGTCTGCAATCGGTAATTAATAAATCGCAACTAATTCTCTCGTTTAAGTCATCGTAAATTATTTATCAGAAGTGTTCCCAACAGTGCAGTGACGGCATCTAATTATCGCGAGCTTGGAGCCGTCGCGGCTTTCCTTCTCGATTTATTAGCCAATTACAATCCATATATCCGCCACCGGTCATGAAACAAGATCTGTATCTCCAATCACTTTTGTACCTGTCCCGTGAATCGCGCTGCAATTGCTCTCTCTTTTCGCGGTTTCTCCTTCCTCATTAGGCAATTACGCCGGGTTTTATCTGCGCGCCCGATTTTTCATTTGCGTCGCACCCCTCCGCCCCGCTCCCCTCCCCCGTGGTCACTTTTGCTCCCATCACACCAGAGGCGATGGAAAACTTCTCTCGTCATCGCTTCGCAAGCGACCGATCGTGCGTCCTAATGGCCTAGATATACGACGATCGAACCTTCTGTGCTGATCGTTTCGTTCGAAATCGATCGCAGTGCGAACTCGAGTTCCGTGTTGTTAGTGACATTTGTGGAATAAATGCGGAAAAGGTCCGCGAGGTAATCGAGTCGCAACCCTATCCGGAAGCCGAGCGACTCGACGAGTGGAAAGAAAATTGCGGTTTTACCTGGCTGTACGTTTAAGTAAAGTACACTCGATAAGTGAGTGATGCTAACTCTTACTAAGCTCGCAGAATTAACGGCTAATGCACGCCCATAATAATTTTACGTCCACAGATGCCGTTGAGTGGCACTAAAAAGTATTTGACAGTATTGCTAGAATTATAGACAGTATAGATAGTATACGCTAGAAGTGATACGGCCAAGGTAAACTTAAGAGAAAAATGAAATTTGAAGAGAGACGCAACAATTTCTTAACTAATTAGTCGATAACTACAAGAATATTCTAATTAAGTATCAATAATAATAAAGCAGTGGTAAATTTTAATTTCCAATATTTTTGAAAAAAGATCTATCTCGTTGTTTACTAAACCGTGAGTGAAAGGAAACGCGATAATCTTGAAAGTGTAACCGCCATTTATTTGACTACTAATTTGAATTAATAGCACGGAATTCGCGTGAAGAATATGGAATTACATGCTAAAGAATACAAGGAATTATTTTAATCGACAATTTAATTAAGATAAGTCATTAGTCTTGATATTAAATATTTTCCGCTCAAGAAGAAATTGTCAGATATCTTGTCGATATCATGATCGTAGTGTTAAGGCCTTAGGTTTTTAAGCTTTAATCGCGATGAAGGTAACACTGGAGTACGAGCGAATTCTTTGGCACGTAAGACCGACAATGCCCGCCTACTCGCGTGATTCGCGTCACTAATGCGGAGCGTTATGAGTCTGCGTGTCATGCATTAACAGTTGCATTAAGAGGTTTGCGTTTTCCATCTGATCGTTGACATTGTACTCCGCAAGATCGTAAGCTAAAAAACAAATATAGCGAGACTACCATCGTAATATAGGATCGTTGAAGGCGTTTTCTTGAGATTGCAGGCGCAACCTGTTTTTGCAAAGATTTTTCCGTGAATAATAATAATAATAATAATAATAATTAAGAATACGATTAATAATTTCGTTCCGGCATATCCATATTTTTTGCAAAAAATCTAGATGACACATGACAAAGATGATAATATTTGATGTTAGTCTTTAATAGAGCGAATCATAAAATATCGACGTCGTTAAATAAAAATGTAAATTTTTCATTCGTTTAATATGCGGAACGAAATTTTATTCTGATGAACATGATAATCGATCTCAAGCACGATAATATTTTCGTTCGTATTAATCTTACCATTCGGGCTGGTGGGTCCACCGTGCGGCGTGTAAAGATGACCATGGGGATTGTGCGGATGCGGAGGTGGGGGCAGCCACGCAAACCCCGCCAGAGAATGCGGAAATCCCGCGGGGTTCCAGCCGCCGGGAGCGCCGGGTGCTCCGGCGAGATACGGCGGGCCCTGCGACGGCCTTTGCACCCCAGGATGAATCGGTTGAGGCACTACCGGGCTGGACTTCTCCTCCTTCTCCTGGCTGGCCTCCAGATCCCTCTCCAGCTCGCAGTCCGAGTCCATCACGTTCAGATCCTCGGACTGACCCACGCTCCTAATCTCGTGGTCCTCGAGGTCCAGATGATCCGTCGTCCGGTCCCCTTCCAACGAGCGATTCGCCTCGGAGTCGCTACGATCGTCGAGGATCTCTCGTCTGCTCGCGGGTGACACGGATCTTGGATTAGTGATCCTATCGATCCTGTCGTCCTCCTCCTGAATACGCTCTTGTTCTCGCTGGAGCATCGTTTCGCCGATCGCGCTCGGCGAACTGGTCGTCAGTCGGTCTCTCGGCATCTCCTGATCTATTCTGATGGGCGAGGACGACTTGTCATGGCTCGTTCTAGAAAAGTCCTTCACCATGAGTATCTCCTGCCGAGCGGGTGGATGATCCTGCTCGAGCCTGTTCGAGTGATGATGGTGGTGATGATTGCCAAAACTGGCGAGCCCGTGAGGGCTCAGCCTGGCGAGCAGCTCTCTGCTCTGAAGTCTCTGCTGCTCTATCAAGAGCTCTCGATATCTCGTCTCCATCTCGAGATTCTTCTCGGTGTCCATCCTGTCGTCATTGTCTCGCTGCCTGACTGCGAAGGTGCCGCCGATGCCGCCGATGGCGCTCTTCTTCGTGCCGCTCAGCAGGGCATCGACGCTGAAGCTGATCTTGCCGCTTCGCGGCTTCAGATTCGATGACGCTGACGTCGGAGTTGCCATATCGACGTCCTCGCACAAGCGATCGCTGCCGGAACCCGGGCCCGTCACCACACCTTCGCCGCCGTTGCTCATGCCGTTCCCGGACGTGTCAACCTCTCAGATCCTCACGTCTCACGAGTCTCCAAAATGCAAATGGCGATTTTTTTAATCAATCTATCGATTTATACACGATTTATACACGAGAATTATCAGAATATACAAATCAGATTGTTCAATCGCTTTCGCAGTGCCATGTTGAATCGTGTGTTCAATGTTCATTACACCGCTAGCAAAACAAATTCCAAACAAGTGGCGTCGCACCATAAAGTATCAGCTGACGATCGCTGCATTAGCTTCTCGCGGATGTCCGTTAAGGGACGATCGGGACGTGATACGTTGACGCGATCAAGCCGCACAGCACTTTCAGGTGACATCAGCGTCACATCGCGTCACTCCTGGACGAAATCCGCTAAACGTCAGAGACGTTTCCCAGCCCGCAGCCCGCCGCCTTAGTAAGTTTCGCGCTCCGTTATTCTTGGAATCCGCCGCATCGCCGCGGCATGACCCAGCCGACACGAGCGGATTCCCCCATTAGAGTCAGAAGAGTGTTCTTAAGATATCAACATGATGACCCAACTCTTCTCACTTCTTAACTTTTATATCTTTCGCATCCTCACCGATGCCTCAGCCGATATTCCTCACACGGCAATTTTCCTTTCGCGATCACTTTATGATCTTTTCCCTCGGACAGCGCTTGACGAATCTACATAAAAACATTTGAACTGTGCCTTGTGCGAAGCGCGCAGAATGAAATCTGCGCTATATAGTACTCCTTTCGTGAGGGACAACGTGACGTGGACCAACTTTACATTGACAGCTTTTACTGTCGTGACACATCTCTAGATATTGGATAAACGCGAATAATTATTTTTCATTCGTCTCGTGTTTCGCCAATATTCTAAAGGATTCACCGGCGTTGGGTTTCCTTCGTTCTAAATTCAAATCTCTCTTCGTGACGTCGTGATGCACCTTGACGTCTCGTCTGTTCCATCATTACGAATATTGATGTCAACGTCAACAGAGCCTGTCGCTGCCATCGGCGCGTTCATCCTTGCGTTCCATGGTATCGAACGCGGACGTCGTACGATATTTAGTCTCTTCCAATGCTCCCGGATCTCGATCGAGGCACTCGGCGTTTTCGTGGACACGACGACACAGCTTTCCGCGATCAGGATGATACGCCAGGACGGTCGAGTGCGTACTCCAGCTCGAGCCGCCGCGCGACAAAAAGCACACGAGGTGGGAGCGCGGTGGTCGTCCCGAGAAAAGAAACGGCTGTCAGCGATGGAGTACAAATGTAATCGGTCGTAATCTGTGTAATCTGCCGCGTGGTGACCGCCACTGCCGCGGAAACGGCACTGATTACCAGCTCGGCTGCACTCGCGGCGGAGAGCCCTGCCGAGAGGGGGGCTCTCCATTCTCCCTCTTTCTGTCTCTCTCTCTCCCCTCTCTCTCTCTCTTCTCTCTCTCTCTTCTCGTCTCGTACGTACGTCGTACCGTAACGGTACCGTAACCGAACCGAACGGGGTAACGGTAACGGGGTACGGTACGGTACGGTACGTACGTACGTACGTACGTACGTACGTACGTACGTCGTACGTACGTCGTACGTCGTCGTCGCGCGCGCGACGCGCGCGACGACGACGACGACGTCGTCGTACGCGCGTCGCGCGCGCGCGCGCGCGCGCGCGTCGCGTCGTCTCTCTCTCTCTCTCTCTCTCTCCTCCTCCTCCTCCTCCTCTCTCTCTCTCTCTCTCTCTCTCTCTCTCTCTCTCTCTCTCTCTCTCTCTCTCTCTGTCTCTCTTTTCTCGTTCTCGGCGTCGCGGTGCCACCGCCGGGTGCGCGCCGCCCCCGCAACGCTCGCAAAACCGGTACCGTGGCCTGGGTTCGACCAATACGCGCGAGCCGACGCACATCTCGGGTGTTTCGAGAATGGGCGTTCTTCTTGGTCGGACGAGAACCAATAGCCGACAACGAGGTGGATCGAAGCTTGTATAGGGGTACCCCCTTCTTCCGGTTGTCGAGGGCCGGCAGATGGAGCCGGCTGCATCACCCGATGCCCGAGAGAGTCTCGAGGTGGTGGAGAACGAGGATGGTCGATGAAACGTGTGGCCAGTGGTGGTGGTGGTGGTGGTGGCGGTGGTGGTGGCGGTAGTGGTGGCGGTGGGACGAGGTGGGACCGAGCGGAACGTGACGATTCCTAATTGTCTAATTCCCGGGCGCGCAATGCGCGAATTGATTGGCAATACGGGTGCACGTGGCTGTGTGCACGGGCGCATGGCTGGGAGAGCAGCGTCCCTCCCGCGTACGCGTCCGTACGTGTACGTAAACGTAACGCGCGGCATCTCGTTCCGCTCTCGTCAGAGCGAGCGATCTAGGATTTATATCGTCGACGATACCAATGTCACTCATATTTAATTATCGGCAGAGTTGCGGCAGTACGCGTGCTGAGACTGGACACGTGACCGGATTCTTGGTTTGACAATCTGTCTTTTAAGTTGATTATTTGAGATCGAATGGTAAATGCTGGTAAATAAAAAAAAATAATTGTTTCGAGGATACGCGTTGTACTCGGAAGAAATGCTTTTCAACAAAAGTTGGATTTTACTTTCAAACAAAGCAAATAAATTATAAATATGTTAGCAAAATAATTATTGCGATTATTTTACATCTCTTCTTAAAATTATATTTAATTTATAAAATAAAATTGCTGCTGTGTTTTCAAGATAACAAATTCAGACAGACTTTTAACTCTTGACGTTTTAATTTTCTTCAAAATAATTTTAATAGTATCCAAAAAATGGCACAACTTTTTCCTCAAATTATTATCGAGCGGGATAAATGTTATATAAATGATTAAATAAGGCAACGAGTAAAAACAAACAAACGTTTGCACTTTTTACAGTGGAATAACCGTAAGATTTTCTTCCGGTAGGAGAGACGGAACGTTAGCAGAACCGGCATATTGTATCTCCAGTCCAAAAGAAGGAAACACACCGAAACACACCGATAGAGCGAGGGTGGGGAAGCGCTTGTAAGTAAACCAACAACAACACACGCGCGCGTTCTCTTCTTGCGAAGAAAGATCCTACCAGAAGACGGGAGCAAGCGGAAAAAGAGAGAATTGAGCCATCAAGTATAGAGTTTTTGTCGTTCGCCAGTTGCGAACAGGACTGAGAATGCATCGAGCAACGTACGCGCGCAACGCTGTTATCTTTTACTTTATGATCTCATTTATGATGCAAAAATTTTTACATATAAATATAATTGAAACTGTAACTGTAATGACTGAAAATACTATATTCAAACTTACCTAATTAATTAATATTCGACTAATTAAAAGCTCTCTCTCCTTGATTTCTCTTTGGTTTCTGGACCTTATTTTTAGATATATATTGGACTTGGTGTGTAGAAACTGTTTTATGATTATAAAGTGATTTGCTGAATAATAATTAAAAATGATAATAGTAAAAAGCTATGAGATTTAAAATATTTATTAATATTTATTTATAAATTAATGAGATGTTTTTCAAGTAAACAAACTTGCAAATTTTATTGTTTCTCAATATAAATATGATATATGCTAGTTTTAATGAAAATCTATAAATCTTCATATTTAGATGAATCATCAAGTAAAGCTTCATGTTGTCAAATTTTTCTGATATTCTGAGACTACAGTGTCACTACACGATCAGAGATATTTTAATCGGATTGATATCGTGATGAAGATAATAATGAGCGATAATTCTCCAGCATGTTCCACAGGATGAACCGGAGAAATCGTTTCGCCAAAGCCGATTAACGAAAATACTCATTAAGAATCGACATCTTCGTCAAGAATGGTTTTTGTCCAGCTGATTGGTCGCTGATG